ACCGTCGCGGTGCTCCAGGATGAAAATTGCCGGGAGACCTTTCCTTAACGACCGCGGCAATATTGCCGGCCATTAGGTGGAGTCTGAAGTATACGCGCGTATGTATTTCGAGTGCGTTACAGTGTCACGGTTCGCGGAGTCGATACGCATCTACGCAACTGGCCTAATGCCACTACGGTAATGTGTTATGCGTGTGGATTACCGGAGGGAGGGACACAAGGACTTGACACGTTATCACCTGGCCTACCTGGCAGACCGAAATCGTGCGTCACTTTTCCCTCGATCGATATAATCAGCCAGAAGAGGCCCGAGATGAAGTGATCAAATCAACTTCTCTCTCTCTCTCTCTCTCTATTCCTCTTTTGTTATTGTATCTAACATTACAGGACATCCAAATCGAAACGTGCAAAAAATTTCTCCTCTGTTGGCAAATAAATGCCGATTGTGTTGTAACGATGTTTACGTTCGTCGGGTGGCTCTATGGGAAGCCTCACATTGTTTCGTCGCATCTATAATTTTTTTATCTATTTGTCATCGAGGTACAGTTACCGTGCGTCTGCAGTTAATGGTATAGCGTCAGGCCTCGTTTGTATTTCCGAGGTAGCTCTAATCGTGCATACTGGCGCGCGGACGTGCACACAGGCGGGATCCGTCCCCAGCTAGGAACCGTACGCACTTACATTCGCACGACCTCTCGTTTCTATAGACGCTCTCGGTATGTGCAAGTGCCAGTCGCGTTATGCACGGTTGGCCGAGTATACTATTTGCGTTACTTCCCTATCGTTGCTGATTTCATTTGAATAGCGTAATGATGGAACGAACGGTGGGTTAAATACCGATTAGCTACTATAGATTAATTAACGTGTGCCACACGTAGAGCTATGTACGTTATTTCGAAATACTTGCAAATTGTAAGACACAACTGAAAAACCGAAGAAACGTTGGCGTTTCTCTTCTTTTCTTTTAAAGTGCGACCGTGCGCATGATAATATCCCTCGATCTCAATATCCGCCTGTAAAACCCCATCAAAATATTGTCCTCGGTGCGCCGTCGTCATTCTCGGAAGCCGCGAGTCCTCGAAAAAGGTAAACGCGGCGTGCGCACGCGTTGAAAAAGCGTCGCTTTTAATTAAAATGCTCAGGGGTTAGAAAGCGTGATGAATGGGATCGCCGGCCGTGTACGGCGCGGCGCGGCCGCGCCAAGAAGAACTCTATTAATTATTAGACGACACCAGATCCATTATCCGGGACGAGGAGCGACGGAGGAGGTCCGCGAGGAATAGTTTCCATTCGGATATCATTAGGACTCCGCCGGACTCTTTCGTTTCATCCCCCTCCCGTCGCGCCTCAGCAGCGCAAAACAAAGCTAATTATCGAGACCGTGGACGCTCCACGTGGGCAGCGTAGGCTGCGCTAACCCCGTGCGAGCGAGTCTGTTGAACCCACTTCCACGGGTGTGTCATATTGAGTGTTTAATTTTTCTGTATGAACTTCGCGCGATGATTTTTTGTAATCGGCAATCAATGCGATTTACATGTGAATGTAAGTACGGCGAGCGTTCAGGTTTAGATGCTTATTTTTGCGCGTCCAGGGACGCTCAACTGTCCAGGTTGGTATCCGTTTAGCGTGCGGTTTCTTACCATCCAGAGTAAAACTGTTGCTGCGACGTATGAATTGGATTATAGCAAATTCACTCTTCAACTTGAAGATGTTCGTTCGACGATCAGTGGAGAATTTCGCACTGGCTCTGACCGACGTGTTGCGACTTGATCGATTTACGCCGAAACTCTCTCAATTTTCGCCGAAACCTTGATTTTCGGCCGAAAATAACTGAAACCGAAATTTCGGTCGAATACTAGGATTCATTCTATACGAGACAAGAATCATGAAAATTCGAACGACTCGGCTGTCGTCCTATTTTCCAAGTGAAATTTTCGCCCGAGAAATTTCGGGAATGCGCGAAAGTAGAGATTGGGCCCTATTAAGAATATGTTTGGCCGTCAAGAAAAGAGATGTGTACGCTTTGTAATAAAAATAGAATTCCAGTAAGGCGCGATCGTTAGGGTATAAGATAATAGCTTGTCCGGTGATCGGGGACAATTTAGTGTCGCACACGTTGATGATACGCTTCAAGGGGATCTCGTTGAGCTGTTAATTTGAATATAGACATATCCAGTCTAACAAATGCGAGTAATTATATCCCGATCGTCTCCGAGGGAAGAGTGCGCCGCGCGGCGTAAAAGTCGCACCGACGAGAGAGAAGGCGTCTCTAGGAGACGCTCGCGGCATGCATTCTCGCAACGACATCTCATTAACACTATTTTCTTAATAACCCGCGATAAGAACTGGTCCTGCTCGCGAATCGTCCCGACATGTCCGTCTCATTTTCTTGCTGCTCGGCCGCAGCCTTGGCGGGCATCTCAGGGGCAGCGCGAGCGAGTAAGCGAGCGAGCGAGCAAAGGCCGCGCAAAGGCCGTTAAATATATGTATACCGCGTAAGAATAATAATTATTCCTAAGTATAGGCCTGCGCGAATGGCCGCGGCGGCGCGGTGTCTTTGACGCCGGCCGGAAAGTTCCGTACTCGTCCGACGTGGCATCGTTGGGCATCGTTCCCATGGCGAGCGCTTCAATTAAACAAACAGTCGGCAGGCCGATGCGTAAAATTTGATTTTGCATATTAATTCCGCGAAGAACGGCCGTTGGCGCCGCCGAGGAATCCGCGAGGGTCGTTGGCAACACGATTTACGGCGCATTGAGCACAGCGAGAGTCGACGGAAATGTATCGGATTGCATAGCTGAAAGAGGGGAGAGTAGCGAAAACGGAAGCGAGCGAAAACGGAAGCGCCGGTTTCAAGTCGTCAGCATCGCCTGAAATTACGCGCCTGCTTCGAGAAATGTTTTTATTTCATCGCTTGGCTGTTTGCGTGATATTATTATCATTAAAGTGGAGGTTTTATAGAATATTGTTAAGTTTTTTTTTTCTTAGATAAATCGAAAACCGTTAAAAATAATTGAAAATATAATATGTAATAGGCACGATAGACTGTCTGCGTGCTATAGACGGATTTTCTAAATGAGAGCCGCCCTCCGGTTTCTATATTGTTATTATTATTATATGCGTTACTTGTAAAAAAAGTGGTGGGAATTATGGACTATTCCATAACATCCGACATCGCCATTGTTAAGACACAGAAAATTTAAAATTCAACGTACTGCAAATGATCTTGCACCAGACTGCCGCAAATTAGGTGTCCAGCAGCTCATAATTCCATCCGCTAATAATATTATCCGCTAAGTTGCGACACTTAAGAAATTGTGGTGTTCCGTATTTCCCCGCACTTCTTCCATATAAAATAATTTTACGATACGTGAGCAGTTCCACGAAATGTTTCACGAACGTTGAAAATATCCAAGTCTGATCGCCGATTAAGTTTCGAAACGAAAAAGCAAGTTCGATGATATCCTTCGGTTTCTAACGGATCCGTGCATTGCCGACTCGCGTTGTTCGTCGGGTCCCAATTAAGACATAACTTTCGATAACGCATTTGCTCCGGGTGTTAACTCGCACACTCTCCGCGCGCACTCGAGCACTAAATGCAATATTTAGGCGCCGTGGCGATATTTCCCTCGCTACAATTAAAGTCGCGCGAGGGACGTTTCGCATGTTCCGTGTACGCTCTCTTTAAATTGCAATGTTAATTTCGTAAGCGTTCGATCGCGATGGGACCGTGTGTCACGTTCTGTCCGTTATGATGCGCGGCGATGGCCCCGTCGTCCCCAGGGTGAACGTTTTAATTAAGCGGACAGAGCGCGTCGCGCTTAAAAATCGACTTTACATGTTAATTTCGCAAGTTGCAGAGGCGCAGCGCCTCTTTACGCCGGTTCTCTCCTTCAGTTTTTCCTTCCGCGTAGCTCGAGAATGTCGAACGATTCGCACGCTTCTTCTTGCTCTCCCTTCTCTTTCCGTCCCTCTCTCCTCTCATGATTCGTCCGTTCGGAACGCGTTCGCGACACAATTACGTCGAGTGTGTCGCGCTGAGTACGCACAAGAGGCGCGATAAACACCGGGCGCTTGGAATATGCAAACTGATGCAAATACCTACGCCAATGTCGGCTAGTCAGGCCACCATGTAGTAGCCGTTGTTGTCGGTTACCACTGTCATAACTATTAAATAACTCGCGCACTTTACCGGCGAATCGGGCGGCTCCGCGCGCCGACGTAAATACTCCAAGTTACGAGCCTGCCGGTATCCTCGCGCATCCTCGCCCGAGGATACACGTAGGAGTTCTCCTCGGCGGAGGCGCAATACGTGTCGGCAGGGTGTCAATCAGCCGCGCGCGCACACACCGGTAACTTTTAATTATCGAAAATCTTGCGGGCCCGCCCGTTGTTGCTAACGATTCGAGAAGCGCGCACGCTGATCCCGGTAATGAAGAGTAAAATGTAAATCCGCGCTCCTAACGGTCGGCGTGCCGCCGCACTCCGCCGCGAATTGATTATTAAAGTTAATCCCCCTCTAGTCGTGGCTCGGAACAAAAGCCCGCTGGTTATTGAACCCTCATCGCCACGGACCAGTAAGATCGCTGATTGCGGCGCGGCCGCAGTTTCCTTTATTTTTAGCGTCCACCGACGCACCGGGACACTTAAAGCGCTGCATTCTTTTATTTTATCCGCGATCTTCAACAATATTTCTCCCGAGGGGCGGACTATAAAAGGATACGTTCCGGCAAAAATGTTAGACCGCTGATTCGTGATATCTCGATTTTTCCTCAAGGAGAAACTGCGAGAGATTGTAAGAAGAATTGCAATCTTTTAATTTACTAGATAACTTCCCTGCCTAGAGTGAATTGCACGAACATAATTTGCGCTCATTACGATGTGAAATTAGCCGGCGGATAAGTTGCTTCAAATCACAGACGCGTGCGTAACTCATTAACACGGTTTGCGCGCGCTTCTTTCCAACTTGGCTAATTAAGGGATGTTACCGTCGTGTTGCAGCTTGAAACCACCGCAGAAAGACGGGGTGACAAAATCGAACCCCAGCAAGCGGCATCGGGAACGATTGAACGCCGAGCTGGACACGTTAGCGTCGTTACTTCCTTTCGAGCAAAACATCCTCAGCAAGCTCGATCGACTCAGTATCCTCAGACTCAGCGTAAGCTACCTCCGCACCAAGAGCTACTTTCAAGGTGAGTCAAGTGTTTCCCGAGTTATTTCACCCACTGGAAAGGCTTATTGTACGCGTCATTTATAAATTAGCGTCGTATTAATTATATAAAGAATATATAAAAGGGTGTAAATATAACAGAGTTGTGGATTAATTATTGCTTTCATTCGCCCGTCGCCGGTAGCGTCATAACGGTTGAAACACGTACGTCTCGGACAACAAATATCTCGGGTTGCGGTCGCGAGCGGCCCTATCGTAAACATAAACGCCCACCGTCTCTTCGTTAGCACGCGAGACACTCGTTACATCATCGAGACAATAACGAGCCGAAAACAATGCGCGGTCCATACGCTCGCCTCCCTCTCGTTCTCCCGCAGCGTCCGGCGGCCTGATAGCTTAATATCCAAACCGTGCTTCGCTCGCGCGGGGATGAAGTACTAGCAGGAGAACTAAATAGAACGAGATTCGCGCGCATACACACAACAACGGACAGTGAGAAATGAATCTTTGATTGCGAACGCGATACTGCGCGCGTAACGAAAACGTGCGAGACGTAATTAATATCACGGCTGGCTGATAATAACTGTTGAAAGATAGTGCTGCAATATATCGGAAACGTTAAAACGGTCGTGATAAGATCGTGAAAAATTATGCGCGCCACCGAGAAATTATTTAATTCTTCTGGATTGAATTTTTCCCGAGGCGTCGAGGTTTCCTTCTTTAACAAATATCGTTCTCGGAAGCAGGACACGATGCGATTCATCGGCGCGAGTAATACGTTCCGAGCCGCTATGCAGAAATTGTGCAACTTCAGCGGGAGAACGCCTTCCTGCGCCGCGCAATCTCATCTGCAATCGCGATCAGGTGGGGCCTGATCGAAGAAGCGCCGCGCGGAATAATGGGTAGACTCACTCGTCTCCCTCGCTCTACCATTATCCGCCGACCCGTGCTTTCGTCCCCTGTTTCTAATCTCGCGAGCGAGCCGAGCAAACTGACTCCCGCGCGAAATCCAACTCATCGGTTTTACGCCGAGGATTATCCGCGTTACCGATACAGGATCTCGCGAAAAGAGTAGAATCGTCCTTGAGCTCGCTTCTCGCTTCGCTTCCTTTGAAATTATAGAGCGTCATATCGCGTTATCACTTCGAGCCTGTGCGGAGAAAAATAATTTTTTGCCGTTTGCGGCGAATCCATCGTTGTTTCGCGTGTTTTATCGTTGCAACAGCAATAAAATTTAATTGGAATTGCCAAATTAGCGAATTACTCGTAATTAGAGAAATAGATTTAGATAGAAATAGATTTGTTGCCGGTATAGAAAAATGTTGCCGAGTGAATTTATCCTTCGAACGTGTTAATTAATTCGCTGTTAGAACAGAACAACATTTTTCTACACGGAGAAAGTATTGTAGTAAAAATTACCGAATAAATTTTGTAATGTTGGACCATACCGGAATTATAATTATATGAAATTATGATGTATAGTCTTATAAATCTTTAATGATGTACTTCATTATACACATCGCTAAAAATTACAACATATATCATAATTTCAGTCATAATTCCGATATGGTCGAACATTACAAAATTTGCGTGGTAATTTTTACTAGAATATTTGCTCCGTGTACATTTACTCGTTTGCTTTTACAGCAAAATAATTTTTAGATTCGGCAAGATATATTCAATAAATGACAACTAATACTTTTAACAAATCGTTTTGTCGACCACGTAGTAACTTATGTAGCACAAATGTTCCAAAAACATCCTAGATATCAAACATCTCTGGGGACGTCCCTAGGACATCTTTTGAATATTTGTGTTGTATAAGAACTGGTAGATTTTATTGCGACAATATAAAATTTACTGCGCCAACAAATTGATCTTCCTTGTATCCTTATCAGCAAATCGAAAGAAAAATGTATTATATCTATCTTGTCTCTCTCTCTCCCTCGATCATATCAACCACTATATCCAAACACAATGATGCTGCGTCAAACATACGCGACGTCCTTTCGACGTTACCTCCGAAGGAGGAATGAAGGAACGCCTGAACGGGTGGGAAAGAGTCCATTAACGGAAGAGGAACGCATCGCGAGGCGCCGGTCGCGAGAAGAACGGTCGATCTTCCACGGGAGCGAGTGGGAGCGCGATGGCAGATATACCGGGGCGCAATAGCGTATGCAAGGTAATGCACGGCCACGAATCCGGATTGTAGGCGCGGAGGAGGACGTTTCTCCGTGTTTCTTCGTCTGTGTATGCGCACCCGAGTGTGCTGTTGCTCGCTACCTCCGCACGATATCGCGGATCTCGCAGTATATCACCGGGGACCGCGCGCGAGGTTGCGGCCCCGAGCTTCTACTTAGCGCTTTTGTTGTTGTTGTTGTTGCTGCTGGTGCTGCTGGTGCGATCCCGGGCGAGGGCGAGACTCGATGCGAGCGATCCGCGCATTGTTCACACCGTTTTAATAGGTATTCATTGTCGGGGCTCAGATCTTTGCCGAAGAGACTCCCAACGGAGTGTCGTCCCGATGCGCCTCGATACCTGGGAGTTCCCGGCTGAGTCTTCGGTGGGGCATGTTCCGCGTTTCCCCCCGCACGGTTCCGAAGAGTATAGCGGAATCTTCGTTGATTTTAATGAGACATACGGCACGTCGCAGCGAGACCGAGATTGTCGGCCTATTGAAAACCGCACCTCGTGCCCGTCTCTCTCGCCTCCGCGTTTCGCGTCCAACCGGTATTGATCGCGGGGCCCGATTTCCGCAAACTTATCAACGCCAACGACTTCCGTTCCGCAGAAGCGCGCGCGGCACCGGCCCGATTAAAAAGCTCCTCCGTTCGCGCCTCGGCGAGCGCGTTGCAGCCGTTAACAAGATTAACAGCTCTCCGCATTCGATCGGCAACATTAATCCGAGTAACACGGGTAGTAGCAACCCGGAGGAGCTTCCTCCTCCCCCGCCTCCCTCTCGCTCTCTGCGCGCTATGTAAATTAATTAGGGCCCTCGGTAACCGCGCTGATTTTTCAAGTGGGCACGTGGTGCGCGCCTCCCTCGCCTCGAGGTAGGCAGAGATAAAAGAAGAAGAAGAGGAAGAAGAAGATGGGAATGGAGAAGAGAAAGGAGAAGAAGAGAAGGCGGCGAAGTCGAGGCCCGAGGTGAATTCGCCAGGCGTTGAAGAGGCGGCGTGCGAAGAGATGGCCCCTGCACTTGGGTCCTTTCCGTGGACCCAGATAGCAGATCTTCCCCAGAGGCTGCGCCTCCCTCGTTGCCTTTCTCACAGAGCATCTCTCCCCTTTCTCACACCCCGCATCGCTCGCGCTACCGGTCGGAGATCCCGCTCGAACGAATCTCGGCAATTAACCCGCGCCACTTAGTCTTATTATTGGTAGGTCTCTCCTGCACGTCGTCCTTGAGTCTACTCCTTTCGCGCGACTCCACTCATTCTTGATTTCAAGCCGCGCTTCCGGCGCGAGATCCTGCACCCAGCCCCGCCGCACTTGTCGAGAAAATTATGCGCGGCGTAATTTAGCCCCGCTAATTTTAGAGCCGCCAATTTTTGTCTTCGAGCGAATTTCTCACACAAATTTGATTTACTGATTTATGCGCCTATTTAGAAAATCACTGCGGTTACCGGAGGCCTTCATTAATCGTAATCATGCGTGCGCGTCAGCGAACAATGTACATGTGAAATTCTTCGCGCTTCTTTAATATGGACGGCGAGAACGGATCTTTCGCAATGTCAAAATAAGATGATAACTTGTATTGTGTTACATCTCGAGATCCTGCATTTGTTCTTGAAATTCGACGGAATTCGCAAAGTTAACGTACAACCAAAATTTCGACTCGAGTCGTGACACAAAAGCAGTGTTACCGTTCGGTTTTTACGCGGACAGTCCAGTTTTCCGAACGGCGGTTTTGCTCGATTTTGTCCGGGTTTGCCGAGATTCGAGGATTGGCAAATCAATTTTCCTATATGACAAACATGTAACGAGTTTTATTTTCTTGGTGACGCTAAAAGATTGGTAGAAAGATGACGACACAAAACGCTAATTTAATCGCGGAATGACACACCTGTTGTCATCGCTCTTTCTCCCCCAATAAGAAACATATACTCATCGGGGCGCGATATTAGCGTCAAATTAAAAAATAATACGACAGTCGGAAATTCATCCGTTGGATTACACCGGCGCTCCGTCGTCCGCGGCGATCTCGCGGACACCTCCTGACATTTACAAATAAAGCATCGAGGGTGAAAAGATTAATGAGGCTCGCTCGGAGCTAATTCGCGCGTCCGCTCCGTACACTTGATACTCGATTAAGCGTGACTAAACGTCGCCGCGAGAGCTTTTCCGGATCGGTTTTCGCCCGATGCGCGTTTGAGAACTTAATGACCGCGACGTGTGAAGTCCCACCGTTACGCGCGGACAGGCGTTAAAAGGATCGTACACGTAAACAGGATCGCGCGCGGGGTGCCGTGACTGGTCTTGCGCGGCCAATTATTTCGATGATTTACGACGTCCTTATCGCCGTAATTAGTAGAAAAAGATTTATGTCGCTAAGGCGCGTTACGTATATCGCACGTTATCACACACGCGAATTTCAAACGATCTCTTAGCCCGGGTGTAGCTGAGTGAGACAACCCGCGTGAGATGCCCGGCAATTATTACATCGCTAGGAGCCGAAGAAATTTTTCATTGCAATTTTAATGAATTGAGCGATCCGCGGTATCGCTAGTTAAGGATCACGCGAGCGAGGATATCGTACCTGCGGGAAGAGAGAGAGACTGCCACGGTGCACTGCCTCCATCGTAAACACAACGAGAACGGCGCGGCGCGTAAGTGTTGTATCGCGTTCCGTAGTAACACAGTAGGCAATATTTTTACAAGCGTGTCGCATTGCCTCTTTATTAAGACGCTTCGTGTTTAATTCGCAGATAAATACGATTCCCGCGTCTACGCGTGCTGTTTGACGTACGGACATCGGCAAAACTTTCACACATGGTGATATTGCGACTTTCAACTATGCACTGA